TGACAATCCACTACAGCTCATTCTCTCGAGGAAAGAAATTTACTTTGACAAACGTATATTATATTTACTCTCTATAACATGTCCAAATCAAAGAAAGTCTCCTTCTCTAATTCCTTCAATAAGAATAAAGAATAGAAAATGTTCAGCAGCCAATTTAGATGATTTATAAAGCAAAATGGTATATGGCCAGTGCTTTCAAATCAACAAGGGTGTGGAGAACAAGACCTAATTACAGATCTGAGTCACTGTCTAGAAGTTCCCTTACCTCAGTCAATCATTTCCCTCAAAGGCACCATTTCGAGATATAAAATCAACACAACTCTAGAAATCTTTTTATATTAAAAAAATAAGAAAAAGCCACTCCACAAAAAACAAAAATAGAGTAATATCAGTTAACTGAATAGATTTTTCAATAAGCTCTTTTCCTTAAAAAAAAAAAAAAAAAAGCAAAAACATGATTTTATAACATTAAATTTTTAAAATAAGAAAATGAAGATAAAAGACATTATAGGATTCTAGCTTAAGTATTTTACCTTCCTTTGATGTCTTTGTTTGCACTGATGTCCAAAATGGCAAAGTACTGTGAGCACTGGCTGCTTCCCAGTGGAGCAAGGTAGTAGGTCTTTTCATAGACCTACTTGACTGCATGTTTCCATTTGATGGCTATAATCTCCTAACACTGGCAACATTTTAACTTAAGATCCTGAGTTCACACTGGCGAGAGAAAGCTAAAGTTACATTTAAATAAAATCAAAAGAAGGACCTATCCTTTCCACAAGAAGAAAAAAAAAAAAAAGGCGTGCACAAAAACCTAAAATTCTCTTTCAACGAAGTATGTGATTAGTTTTCCTTCTTGTAACATGGATGCAATATATATATGAATTAAGGAAAAAATATTTTAAGTTTACTTTTTTGTTCAGATGTTAAACATTTAAGCAAAAAAAAAAAAAAAACCCAACAAATTAAAAAAACAGAAAAGTTCTTTTGATTGGCATAAATCTTCTTTCTCTTACACTCTATCAATAATTAGGTTACCAACACGGAAGTTCCATGGACAAATCCAAACTCCCTTAGGGACCGAATTTACTGGGCTGAGGGCTGTGGGGACCATGGTCTCAGGGAATGTCTAGCTCAATCAGCATAACATAGTTTATAAAGAAAATGTTCTACATTCTATTTTGGTGAGTAGCATCTGGGGTCTTAAAAGCCTGAGAGCTGCCATCTAAGATACTCCACTGGTCTCACCCCTTCAGGAGCAAGAGAAAATGAAGAAAAGTAAAGACACAAGGGAAAGATTAGTCCGAAGGACTAACAGACCACAACTACTACGGCCTCCACCAGACTGAGTCCAGTACAACTAGATGGTGCCTGGCTACCACCACTGACTGCTCTGACAGGGATCACAACAGAGGGTCCAGGACACAGCTGGAGAAAAATGTAGAACAAAATTCTAACTCATAAAAAAGACCAGACTTACTGGCCTGATAGAGAATGGAGAAACGCTGAGAGTATGGCCCCCAGGCACCCTTTTAGCTCAGTAAAGAAGTCACTCTGGAGGTTCACCTTTTAGCCAAAGATCAGACAGACTCATAGGACAAAATGAGACCAAATGGGCATACCAGCCCAGGGGCAAGGACTAGTAGCCAGAAAGGGACAGGAAAGCTGGTAATAGGGAACCCAAGGTCGAGAAGGTAGAGCACTGACACGTCATGGGGTTGTTAACCAATGTCATAAAACAATATATGTACTAACTGTTTAATGAGAAGCTAGTTTGTTCTGTAAATCTTCATCTAAAGTTCAATAAAAAATATATTAAAAATAATAATAATAATAATAATAATAATTAGGTTAACAAGTTGAAAGAACTAATGATAATCTGGCCGGAAGTGACTATTCAGTTCCGTGGAGGCAACATTCCAAACAAGAACAAAGAGTAATATGAATCCTCCAACAGTAAAAGAATGAATTTTCTGAATGCAGAAGTTAAATAACAGAAGATACATTTCAGACAAAACAATACAAAGTGATCTCCAAGTCTCAACATCAGGGCACAAAGGGAAATAACCATACAGCAAATGTTTCTGAGGAGGCTACAAATGACAGAGGTATGTTTCACAGTCAGTTCAAAAGAGTGGATGCCTCTTCTATTACTGCTGCCAGCAGAAGTAACAAACTAGCACATTTAGAAAGCACAGAAGTAATCTTTGTAGGCATACTGGCTGTTGCAGTACAGAAAAATGCATAGGTTTAGCTAAGTTTGCCCAAATATGCGTTCTGACCACAGGATGAATGAAGTTATTATTTTTTTAATTGTGATAAATATATCGGTAACAAAACATTTGCCATTTCAACACTCTTGACATGTACAGTTCAGTTATATTAACTTCATCCTGTTATACAACCATCATCTTTATCTGTTCCCAAATTTTTCCAAGATGAAATAAAGCTATTTAAACGAAAAAGGAACTCAACACACTCTGAAAAGCTCAGCATCTTAGTTATCTAGTGCTGCTATAACAGAAATACCACAAATGGATGGCTTTAACAAAGATAAATTTATTCTCTCACAGTTTAGAAGGCTAGAAGTCCAAATTCAGGATGCCAGCTCCAGAGGAAGGTTTTCTCTCTGTGTCGGTCCTGGAGGAAGTCCTTGTCATCAATCTTCCCTGGTCTAGGAGCTTCTCAGTACAGGGACCCCGAGTCCAAAGGACCTGCTCTATTCCTGGCACTGCTTTCTTGGTGGTATGAGGTCCCCCTATCTCTCTGTTCGATTCTCTCTTTTATATCTCAAAAGAGATTGACTCAAGATACAATCTAATCTTATAGATTGAGTCCTGTCTCGTTAACATAACTACCTCTAACCCTGCCTCATTAACATTGCAGAGATAGAATTTACATCACACAGGAAAATCACATCAGATGAACAATCACACAATACTGGGAACCATGGCCTAGCCAAATTGACACACATTTTCAGGGGACACAATTCAATCCATAACACTCAGTAATGGCACAGTTGGTCTAAAAATGCCCTGCACATTCCAAACCTTCACTGGAATGTAGAAGCAGGTATAGAAAGCAAACTCAATAGCAATCTAAGCAAGGAATAAAAGTGCTTCTTCCCAGACAGAGAGGTCCCTAGATGGTCTGCACTCAACTACTAACCTAAAGGTTGGTCGTTCGAACCCACCCAGGATCACCTCAGAAGAAAGGTCTGGCTCCAATAAAGATTACAGCCAAGGAAACCCTATGGACCAGTTGTACTCTTTAATACATGGGGTCGCCCTGAGTATCCTCTGCTACCAGCGGATAAGATAATAGCTAGCTGTCAGCAGGCTGATTCGAGCTCATCAACCATTTAAAATCTAATGATCTAAAATCATTTTATTACAAATCGTTAGGATGTCTCATAATAGATCTTTTGATGAGTGTCTGAGAATATATTTATGGCCTCTTTCAGTGACCCTGAATTTATTCTAAACTCCTTTGTGATTTCATACAAGTACATATAGTATGCTACATTTACCTGAAGTTAAAAAGCATATAAAAAATCATACTACACAGGCATAGTAAAAGCACAAAGAAATGTATAGCAATGATAAAAACCACAATCAGGATAGTAGTTCCAGGAGGTAGAGAGACAGAACTGCTATTAGGGAGGATTACAATGGGTTCTAAGAAAACACAAAGAATACCCAAATAGCCACATATATACAACTGGTTGGTTTTCATGCCATTTCATAAAACAGCCACTAACCCAAAACTCTTTTCAAGATTCACAACCCAAGTGGGTTGATTAAAAGGCAAACCTTCCGGGGCAAAGAAGAGGAGAGAATCTGAAAGCTTTATATTTTATTCACATGTCTGTAAATACTAAGTCACTACCTGCTGACTGTTAAGAGTGAAGAGGATGCCAGTCAACACCAGCACACCCTGCCAGTTTAATTTAATCGTATTATTTTGCCTTGCTTTGCAATTACTCCACATTCCCCAGGGAGAAACTAATGGATTACTAAAAATAAAACAGAGATTAAATGAATGACTTAGGGTGTTTTGGCTCCCAGTTCCAACTGGCTTAAACAAAAAGGAAATGTACTGCCTCAAACACTTGGACACCCAGAGGAAGGGCAGGCTTCAGGGCTGTTTTCCCTGTGATTCTGGACTCTACCCTCCACCCTGTGTGGCTTCTTGCTCAGGCTGATAGCCAGAAGGCTGCAGCCACACCAGACCTCCCACCAGCATATAACAACATCTAGAAGAAGAGAAGTGCTGTCTTCATGTAACTCTCTTTTAAGTAAGAAAAGACTTCTGTCAGAAGCTCCAGGCAAGTCTACCCTGGAGTGTCACTGGCTGGACTGGGATTACAGGACCATGCCTAAAACCATCCCTCAGGCCAGGTGACATCCAACACTGACAGGATTGAGACTGGCCCTAATTAGGGCCCACCCTACAGTTGGCATGGGTTCCTCAACCCCATAATTGCCACAATGGGGCTGGATGGAACACACGATATGAATCCAATGTCCACTCTGTTGGTATTTGCAGGGAATAAAAACCAAATTAACCCACTGCGGTCAAACTGATTCTGACTCATAGTAACCCTATAGGACAGAGCAGACTGCCCCACAGGGTTTCCAAAGCCGTAATCTTTACGGAAGCAGACTGCCACATCCTTCTCCTTGGAGCAGCTGGTGGGTTCAAACCACAGACCTTTCCTTTAGCAGCTGAGCACTTAACCACTGCACCACCAGGGCTCCTCTTTGCAGGAAATAGCCTGAGAAATACTGCATTTATCATAAAATGAAATAAATAACTATCACTATATATTTGTATATAAAGTATCTGTTCAAAAGACAGATGATCAAATGAATTGCTCCCTTACAGAAAAGTTAAGTTTGGAAAACTTTATCTCAACTGCTCTCTCTAGTCAGAAACTGAAAGGCAGAAAGTTAACACTTTATAAAGCAGGTAGGTCACAGAAGTATTGGTACAGTACTTACTGAACTTTGGTGCCATGACCACAGACATTTAGGCAACAGCACCCACTTCAGCAATTAATAATCTGAGAAAAAGAAAAAAGAAAAAGAATCAGTTAAAAAGTAAAAATCAGTTAAAGTCATTTCACTAAACAGTTGTGAAATTTTGATAAAAGTTTGTCTTTTTTCTAAAAGGCAAATCAGATATTTGAAGGTAAACAGCCACACTTAAATTAGAAATGAGAGAAAATAGTATTGGAGAGTCTTTAAGTAGTTACACATCGCTTAAGGTCAACAATACATTCTGTGAAATACGACGTTACGTGATTCGGACATTGTGCGAACACCGTATAATACACCGGCAGTCCACAGCTCCAATGGCTGTTCCACCTGCTTGAGGAGCAGGAATGTTACGGGACCTTAAGAAAATGGTTTCAGGAGCAGCCCCGGCCCTGCAGGCCCCACTGCGGCCTGCCTGCCAGACAAAGCTCAACGGCTATATACACTGGGCACAGGAGACTGGCCTTGCCAGGTGAGCAGCTACAGGCTGGGAGGGGGCTGCATCGGCGGCCAGATAGGGACTTTGTACACGTCTGGGTGCGGGGGGTGGGGGAAGGACAGGGGTGGCGAGAGGTGGCCGCAGGGACTGGGTATGCAGGTTCTGGGAGCAAGGCAGGTGGTGGCGGCCCTGGCTGCTGCTGCCTTGTTGGTGCAATGGCTACCTGATCATATGCAGCCACTGCCGCCTGAAGCCAGGAGCCCGCGAGTGCTCTGGCCTGGCCAGCACCCCACCAGCGCCCGTGGCAGGAGTGGTGAAGCTTTGCTGGCACAGCCCTGCGTCAGGGGCGAACAGCTGCATGGTTGCTGGGCAGGTGAAGAAAGCCAGGAGGAGGCAGAGGAGGAGGCACTGGGGAGATTGGGATGCGCCCTGGAGCCTCACTGCTCATTCACTCTGGAGATTTGGGGTCTTTAAAACGACTCAAAAAACCCAAACTCACTGACTTCAAGTTGATTCTGACTCATAGCAACCTGATAGGACAGATTAGAATGGCCTATGGGGTCTCCAAGGCTGTAAATCTTTACAGAAGCAGACTACCACATCTTTCTCCAGCAGAATGGCTGGTGGGTTCCAACTGCCAAACCACTGACCTTTTGGTTAGCAGCCAAGTGTTTTAACCACTGCACAACCAGGATTCATGCTTTAAAACCATTAGGGGGAAACAATAAACAAAAGGAAAGCTGCTTTCCTTTTGTACTGGGGGGAAAAAAAATCTTATGGGACCAAGGACCTCCATGCAGTTGGATGTTGCCCAAATGGACATTATGCAACGTGTGACTGTATTTTCAAGTTAAGAGCATCTGCATCTACTGTAGATCTGACCACCAAAAAACAAAACAAAACAAAAAACATGTTTTAAATCAAGCAATATTGCCCTGGACTGCTGTCTGTTAAACTGAAACACAAAAGGAAAAAAATACAGAATTATTAAACAAACCTCAAAAAAATCACGTAGTATATCGCCTACAACACATACCTATTCAATTTGATGCAACTTAAAGCTATTTAGCTTTAATTTCTAAATTTCTAAACTTAGGGGTCTGAGTATACAGTTTTCAGTAGAAAATATGCACATATCTGATTCAAATATTTGACACTGCATTTTACTTAATAAAATCTTTGAATATTCAGCATACTATGGAATGCTAAACAAACACACCCATTGAACTGGAGACTCTAAGGCCTTGAAGTCACTTTTAACATTTATAAATGAAAGATAAGAATTTTGTCCATATCCAGACCCCAGGACAAAAAACAATACAGCAAATCACACTCTTAATTAAGAGGGAATAAAAAACATAAAAATCCAACTCCACATGAAAACAGTGGTACTTCCTGGTATGGTAAGCCATTACAAGGATCACTAAGGGTTGCTACAATCCAAGTATCTACAAATACCATGTCTAATTTCACTTTCCTCACTGTATGTGAGATTCAGACAAGTTGTTATATTGGTTATGGCTCATTAAAAAGAAAACCATCTACCATTAATAGAATAAAAGGACAAGCCACAGATTGCAAGATGATACTTGCAATACATATATCCACCAAAAGACTCATTCAGAATTACAGCATTCCCAGGTTATGAATGTCCGACTTACATACAATGCGAGTTATGAACATCCAGTTTATGAACCAACCCCCCATAAAGCCTATTATATTAAAATTCAAAGTACACGCAATGGTTTATAATAACAAATAGGCACTACTTTGCGATGCACATCAAAACATTATTATTATTACTGTATTATTATGTTAAAGACGTTTTAATGTATCTAGAAGTTGTTTCTTTAATGTTTTATGCATAGAAAGGTACACTGTATGTTATATACTAAGAAGAACATTTGACTAACTGACATTAGATAACAAACCATACCTAAATGTTCTGACTTATGTACAAATTCTACCTAAATGCAGACTTAGGAACGGAACATGTTTGTAATCCAGGAATGCCTGTATAAAGAACTCTTACAACACAATTAAAAAAAAAAAAAAAGGCCACCAAAAACAGGCTATCAAAATGGCCAATAAATATATGAAAAGGTGCCCAACATCATTTATCAACATGGAAATACAAATTAAAATGGCAATGAGATAAAATTATACACTTATCAAAATGGCTAAAAAGTCTGAGAATACCAAGTTTTAGCAAGGATGTGGAGTAATTCCACTCCCATACACTGCTGGTGTGAGTGTCAACTGGAAAGATGCTCGTTAGCTCTGGCAGCAAATAGAGTGTGGAATACTCATACAACAGAATACTCCACAGCAGAATCAGTAAACTTTTTCTGTAAAGGGCCAAACAGTAAATGTTTCAGGTTTTGTGGGCCACATGGTCTCTGTCAAAACTACTAAACTCTGCCTTTGGAGTGCCAAACCGGCCACAGACAAGATGTAAATGAATGGGTTTGGCTGTGTTCCAAAAAAAGTTTACTTACAAAAACAGGCAGCCAGCCCACAGGCTGCAGTTTACCTGCTACAGAGCAATGAATATAAATGAACCATAACAAAGGCAGTAACATGGATAGATCTCACAAACACAATGCTGCGACAAAGAAGTCAGACACATAAGAGGATATATTATATGATTCCATTTACAAAGTTCAAAAATTGGTAGAACTACGTAAGTCAGAATAGTTGTTAGCTTTGTGTGTGGTGGAGGGTGGGTGGAGACTGGGAGGAATGTTGAGGGGTGAATAATTTTTGATTCCCTGATCTGAGTAGTGGTTTCATGAGTGTGTTCAATTTGGGAAAATTGTTCACTTAGATGATGAACGCACTTGTTTTTATATATGTTATACTTGAATAAAAAAGTAAAATGCTTTAATAATTTTGTATAAATAAAGACAACAGGCTACATAACTGAAGGGATGGTTTCTAACAGCTCACGCTACCTGGGCATCTAACACTACGATGCAGTGGCAAGCCTTGTGCCCGCACACAGTATGGTCCTAAAGCTCCCGTTACTTAGAGTGGGATGTCTGCATTGCAACTGAACGTCCCCTCAGAGTTTCCAGTAGGACTTTGGAGAATGAGCTATGATTACACAAAACATACATGGTGGCAAGAGGTGAATGCAACACATAGAGACAGAAGAAAGTAACAGATGGCTGCATGAAGAGGAAATAAACCCCTACATTTTAACATAATCTGCTGGATAAGTTATACAAAATAGACTGTAAAACAAGCTGCTTAGAAGGTCACCAAACCTGCCTTCTGGACAAAAATAATGACATTTTTAACACTTATTAGGGGTCTTAAGGAAACCCTGGTGGCGTAGTGCTTAAGAGCTACGGCTGCTAACAACAGGTTGGCAGTTCAAATCCACTAGCTGCTCCTTGGAAACCATATGGGGCAGTTCTACCCTGTCCTACATGTTCTCTATGAGTCGGAGTCAACGTGACGGCAATAGCTTTGTTTTGGTTTTTGGTTTTAGGGCTCTTAAAAGACTGCTGAGGGGTTGTATTTACAGTACAATGATTTCTTCCCATCTAACAGATAAAGTGGGCAAGAAATTTTAGCTTCTCAAGTGATAAAGCAAACCTGACAGACTATGTAGTCTTAACTTTCTAAACCTGCATGTTTTTCCGTTTCTATTCTTCGATTTCATCTTCTCAATCTATGGGATGTCTAAAATGTAATTAGATACTGTAACTTCCCAGGGGCCGCAGGAAGCCATGAAGTTACCTCCAGTTAGAGGCAGTGATTATGCAAACGTCCAGGACAACAAGATCACGGACATCACATTACAAGGATTCACATTCTATTAGTATGGGCTTATATCGTGAGCAAAATGTTGACGTGTAATCCGTACTGAAGGTTGTAGTCTTAGATCTTCATCAATAAGTGCTTCAAGTCCTCTTCACTTTCAGCAAGCAAGGTTGTGTCATCTGCACACTGCAGGTTGTTAATGAGTCTTCCTTCAATCTTGGTGCCGAGTTCTTCTTCATACGGTCCAGCTTCTCAGATTATTTGCTGTCTTAGGTTGGGTTCTCTGGAGAAGCAAAACCAGTAAAGCATATAAATATATATAGAGAGATTTATATCAAGGAAATGGCTCAAGTGGTTGTAGGGGCTGTTGTTGTTAGGTGCTGTCAAGTCGGTTCCAATTCATAGTAACCCTACGTACAAGAGAAGGAAACACTGCCTGGTCCTGCGCCATCCTCACAATCATTGCTATGCTTGAGCCCGTTGTTGCAGCAACTGTGTCAATCCACCTTGTTTAGGGTCTTCCTCTTTTTCATTGGCCCTCTACTTTACCGAGCATGATGTCCTTTCTCCAGGGACTGATCCCTCCTGATAACATGTCCAAAGTATGCGAATGCTTCTAGGAAGCATTCTGGTTGCACTTCTTCCAAGACAGGTTTGTTCATTCTTCTGGTAGTCCATGACACATTCAATCCTCTTTGCCAACATCATAATTCAAAGGCTTCAGTGCTTCCTCTGTCTTCCTTACTCATTGTCCGGCCTTCATAGCATATAAGGCGATTGAAAATACCATGGTTTGGGTCAGACACACGTTAGTGC